CATCCATCCAGCATCCATCCACCCGTCCGTCATTCCATATCTTTTAGTTTGACAATGATTCAACAAACAAACTTCTTGGTTGTTGGGTGACACCGCCCGTGACATGCTAGCCAATGTCAGCATCTTTGCCACCCAAGGCCTCTGCATATCTCCCTCCTTCCGTCTGGGTCCTCCCTGGTGAATCCTACTCACTCTAGGTTCCAACCTGAACATCATTTCTCGTAAAGTGGCCTCTACATGAAAAGTCCCTGGATGAGGACCCTATTATCTCCTTGAAAGGCCCCGTGCTCCTCTCTCAGGACCCCGCCCACTGCCCACATCAAGTCTGTCTCCTGTGAAGATCGTGGCCCCCCGGGCGGCAGGAGCTCGTCTGTCTGCTCTGTTCACCGTGAGGCCTGACACACGTCTGTGGACAAGTGACAGTGGGCAGTAATGGTGGGTGGTGGGTGTCGAGGTTGTCCCGGCTGTGCTGCCCTGGAACCCCGACAGGCTCAGGATGACGGGGCCCAGAGGAGAGTCCCGGGAGGGTCAGGGGCTTGCCTGGCGCAGGCCTTGAATGCTGGTGATGGGTCATAGCTTATCTTTAGGGAACTAGCCCACCTCTGGGGTCTCCTGGGCAGGGGGTGAGACGTGCAGGGGATGGTCCCAGGAGGGCCAGCTTCCATGTGTCTGGGGATCTGGGGACCTGAGGGGTCATCCCAGCAGCGGGCAGGGTCAGAAGGGGGAGTTCTGTGAGAGGATTAGAGGGCTCAGAAGAGCTGCCCCCCATCTTTGTCCTGTGTGTGGGGTGGACGTGGGGACAAGACTGGACCAGCAGGGGCCGTGCTGACCGGTGGTCAGGAAGGCACACAGTGGGCCAGGGGTGGGCTCAGTCCCGACATGGCCAGCAAGCACGACCCAACATGCTGCACCCTGGCCACTCCTGAGACCCAGAGGTCGCGACTGGAGGCGTCAATAGCAGCAGCGGCACCAATAGGGCACATTTGCCACTGTGGTCCTGTGGGCAGGGGCCGCCGCCCCAGGCCGCAGGCAACAGGCAGCTGAGCAGACGTGGTCCGTCCACGTGACGTGTGCAGAACGTGGCACCTACGGAAGGGGCTCCTGACAGCCCCAGGAACAGGCACCGGGTAGAAGCCCATCCGAGAGCAGCACGGAGACCCTGGGGGACACACGGGCCACGCACACCGAAGCGTCGGTGCACACCCACAGGCCCTTTGCACGTGTCGGGAAGAAGGGCTTGTTTCCCCCGTGGGCGGGGGGGACCCACTGGGAATTGCCCTCATCACAGGACGATTCTAGAGATGCAAGTATTAAAAACTTGGGGGCCTCCAGCTTGGCAGGTGGACAGGCTGGAGTGTGGACCCCGTGGCAGGCCCGCCGGCCCCGCGCCCCGCAGGGTGCTGTCATCTCTGCTTCTGGACCCGGGTGCTGCCTTAGGGACCTCGGTCTGTGAAAGCCCCTGGAGGCGAGCGTGCTTCTGGGTGTGTTACATCTCAGTAGAAAGTCAGGAAATGGTCAGCCCACTGCTGCCGCTGAACGACTCACAGGCTAAAGAAGAAACCCCCGTGGGAATAAAAGAGACGCCTAGAAGTGGAGGACCCGCGAACGCTCCCTGGCAGGGCTCTCAGGACGCAGCAAAACCCGCATCTCGAGGGGAACTCATGGCCTGGGCTGGAGATGCTCGTACCGGAGAGGGAGGGGGGCCAGAGACGGGCGAGCCGGGGGCCCCCCGCGCGTTGGGAGGGACGCCTGCCAAACTCCAAGCCAGGAAAAGAGGATGAAAAATAACAGCAGAATCAGTGGAAAAAGAAAACAAAGACACGCCAGGAAACTAGCAAAATGAATACCCCTGGCGCGGCTGGCGGGCGCGAGGAAGGAGGATTTCAAGCATCCCACGTCCCACGTCCCACGGACCGTGCGGTGACTCACAGGAGACGCCACAACCTAAAAGCCAAGTAGGAACGGGGTAACGCTCGGAATATCTAGTTTACCGGGAAGCCTCGGAGAGGAGAACACGACAGGTGAGGCCCGTCGCCGCGAGAAGCTGGGCAGCCGCGAAGGCCCTTCCCTCCAGGGACGCAGGCGGCCGAGGGGCGCGGGGCCTGGCTCGGGGACAGGGGAGGGACGGAGGGAGGGGCGCTCGCACGCCCTGGGGGCCCCCGACACGTCGGAAGCCGCGCGAACGCCCCGAGGAACAGACGCGACCGTGCAGTAAGCTGGGCCCTTAGGCCTCCCTCGGCGGGAAGGGGGCTCGACGCTGGAGAACACGTGTGCAAACACGGGACGTCCTCACGGTCACTTCAGAGGACGCAGACGCACTTTCGTGAAAGCCCCGGTGGCTCGACAGCTGGTGCAGGTGCCGACCTGGCCGGGAGGGGCGGGGACGCCGCACTCAGGGCCCCCAGTCCCCCGTCCCCCGGGGTGCGCATCTGCCGCCCGGCGAGGCCACGGCCCGAACCGCGACCCCCACCCTCGCTCGTGCTGCAGGTGGGGTCGCGCAGAGGGAAGCCCGGGAGGAGCTGTAGGTCACGGGACACACGGAAGGGACTCAGCTCGACGGCGGGATACGACACGCGGGGGTTCCGGCGACTTGCGTTCCGTGGACTTGAATCAAACGGGCAGAAGGATGCCATCGCGAGGATGACGTGGGGCTAGGACGGAAGCAAAACACCAAATTCCCGGGATCCCTGGGTGGCGCAGCGGTTTGGCGCCTGCCTTTGGCCCAGGGCGCGATCCTGGAGACCCGGGATCGAATCCCACATCGGGCTCCCGGTGCATGGAGCCTGCTTCTCCCTCTGCCTGTGTCTCTGCCTCTCTCTCTCTCTGTGACTATCATAAATAAATAAAAATTAAAACAAAATTTAAAAAACAAAACAAAACAAAAAAAAAACACCAAATTCCCGAGAACAAACGAGTAAAGGATATTCAAGGCTCCCACGGGAAGGGACCCCGCGTGGCTGGCACGTTGGAGGCTCTCGCTAGGCCAGTGGTGAACCGCGTGCGACAGAGGCTGAGCCTCCCCCCGTGACCGACGGACGCGCCGCCCTTCCCCGTCCAGGCCCGCGGAGCTTCTTACGGGACCCGAAACCCACTTCTGACCTTTACGAGGAGGACAAAGGGCCCGGAATAGTGAGCGGGTGTCCCGGGGGGCCGGGCGGGCGGGGTCTACACGGAAAGCTGTGCCGCTGGGTCCTCCGCTCACACTGCAAAGTCCCTGAAGCCGCTCACAGGAGAACAAGAGGGTCTGCAAAGTCCTCGTAGGAGATTTCAGGGAACCTCCGGGAGCCTGGGGCTTGGGACGGTCCCTTAAGGTACAAGAAATACTAGGATGCTAACAGTGTCAGAAACGTGAATCGGTTTCACTCCACCAAGCGGGGGACACTTCTTCCCTCGAGGGAGGCCTTGAGGCTGTCGTCCCAGCTGGGGCTCCTGGGGGGCGGCTGGGGACATGCTGTGTGCCCCCCCGACCCCTTCCAGCCCAGCACACCCGGACCTGCCAGACGCTATGCCCGGGGACGCTGCCCTGGGGACACGGCCTGGGGACACTGCCATGGACCGAAAACCCAGCTGGCTTCCACGGAGCCCAACATTAAAGGGTGGACGACAGGTGGCTGGAAAAGCCCTACTCTTTGCAGATTTTGGGGAAAACTACTGCTATTTTTCATAAAAATACATTCTGGATGGTACGTGCAGTGGCTTGTTACTATTTTTAACCGGCCACGGGCTCTGGCCTGCAGGCGGTCAGGCGCTGCGGTGACCCGCAGCAGCGTCGGGAGTGGGAGGCGCCCCCGGAGCCGCTGGCTGCCCCGGGACACGCTGTCCGCAGGACATTTACGATCCTGACAAAAAGAGTGAAAATTCACGGAGAGAGACGGGCCTTGCGGGGGGCGCGGGGCTGGGCGTCCGCCGTGGCGGGAGGCAGAGGGGCGCCCGCCCGCACGCCATGGGGCCGCCGGTGGCCGCGTCCACCGAGGCTGTGCAGAGCGGGCCCGGCGCTCCCGGGGGTCGGGGGCGACGCGTGGTGACCCGGAGCGCCTGCTGGGAGAGCTAGGGGGGCGGGCGCTGCCCTGAGAACGCGGAGGCCAGCACAGGCGAGCGGCGTCGCCGTCGGGGACAGCCCGGCGCTCGGAGGAGAGGGGCCCGGACGGCGGGGCTATTTCCAGGGTCGTCACTTCCAATACGAAACGCGAGGGAGAGAGAGCGGTCGGTGCGGACCTGGGACGGGGCGGCCACAGCCAAGAGCACGCGGGGCCTGGTCCCCCTGGGGCGTCCAGGGCAGCAGAGACCCGGCCTGGTCCTGCCGGGTGCCCTGGTGGGGGACGAGGGTCCCCGCGGCCAGGGGGCCGGGCAAGAGCTCTCCTCAAGGTAAACAGCACCGAGGAGCCAACCCCTCGGATTTGGGGTAAAGATCTGACCTGATGTCACTAAGCTAACGGGTTTTCACTGAAATGTTTGAGTTTGTGATCACGCACGTGTTAACCATTGATTTTTTTTTTCTCCACGCAGGCTGCTCGGGGGGATGCCAGCGCCGCTCGCAGCAGGGAGGTGGGCCGGGCAGGGCGCCCCCCTTCCTTGGCAGCCCAGCCACGCTGCCCCGAAAACACGGGGGTGTCCGGGGGCCCACCCTGTGAGCAGGGGCGTCGCAGGGGCCTGTGGCCCTCGGTGGCAAGGCTGGCGGGCGCTGCGCCCACCCCTCGGCTCCTCCGCCTGGCAGCTGGGGTGCCTGCCACCCACCAGGGCCACCTCAGCACCTTTAACATGTTAAATCCGGCGAGTTCACACTCCAGAAACACACTCGACGACGGTGAGGACGAGCAGGCGTCCAAACAGCGAGCTGCCCCCGGAGCCAAGTGCACCACGGGGAGCCCGAGTCTGACCAGGGCGGGGGGGGCCCTCAAGCAGCCCCCCAGCCCCGGCCCGCGTCCCACACGGAGCCGCCCCCCATGTAGCGGCCTTTCCCGCCGTGGGGTCAGGGTCGCAGGGGCCCCGGCGCTGCTCACCTGGAAGGTGTTCCCGGTCACGTCGAACTCCGGGGGAACAAACGCGCCCTCGGGGTCATCTGCGGAAGCGGAAGACGGGCTCGGATCACGGGCCACACACCCACGGGGCCCGGGAGCAGGAATCCCGAGGCCGGGAGGGCAGGCACTGGGGCCCGTTCCCACCCCCGCCCGTCCAGGACAGTGCTCGGGAAACAGTGCTCCAGCGGGGAACCTCCGTCCCCTGTGACCCGGGGACGCCGCCCCACGGGAGGCGGGAGGGCTTTGCTGGCCTCCCAGAGTAGGGGCCGCGGGCTCCGCGGGGGAGTCGGGCCCACTCAGCCTCCCCGGCAGCGGGGCAGGGGCGGCGGGAACACGGATGGGAACACGGGGCGGGCGTCCTCGAGCCCGCAGGGGCCCTCCCCGCCTGCCCAGCGCCCGGCCCCCGCTCACCGCTCAGCTGCTCCATGAAGCACACGTTCCCGCTGGTGTTGAAGGCCAGCGTGTCGGGCGTGATGCACAGCGTCTGGAAGATGGCCGCGTGGGCGACGCTCCGCATGGACAGGCTGCACTCCAGGCACACGGCCCAGGCCTCCTGCTCGCTGAGGCCGCTGTCCCGCAGCGACAGGATGTCGGCCAGGGACACGTTCTCCTGCCGAGAGGGGCCGCGGTGAGGCGGGCGTGGGGCCGGCGCGCGCGGAGCCGCCGCCTTGTGCCCGAGGCGGGGCCGTGGGCCAAGGCTTTCCAAGGACAAAGGGCGGCAACCCAGGAGGTCACCCGCCGCACTGTCCCCGGCCGCCGGGCCACGGAGCATTTGGCAGAGCGGCCGGCGCCGGGGGCCGGGACCTGGTTGTCCCAGAAATCCCGGCGCCCCACGAGCAGCGGCCCCACCGCCACGGCGCCGGCCCTCGGGCTCAGAGCAGCACGGAGGAGCGGGGGACGTGAGCCGGTGCGCGCAGAGGCACGCTTGTGCGGGGAGCCCGTGGAAGAGCACACGCGCTGCCATCGGTCCACGCAAGCCTGTGACGTTCGGGATCGCGCACACACGCGGCCGAGGAGCGGCCCAGACGTCAGCTCCGGGCAGGGCACACAGGGACGCAGACCCCAGGCCTCCCCGCGCGGGCCCTGCCCTCCGGCCTGAGCTCAGCGCCAGTGTGTCAGCAGCACGCGCACAAGCACTCACATGTGTGCGCACACGCCTCCTCCTGCGTGCAGACACACGCCACGTGTACTCACACACGCCCACGTTTTCAGGGGCGTCCCACACGGACACACCACACTCATGCAATGAGTTCGTGCACCCGTGGTCGTGCACGGGCCACCCAGCCTCACGCACACACTCAGGGACCCACACTTTACTCACGTGCACGATGGTGCCGTCCCCCCTCGCACGCCTGCACACTGACTCATACACACTCTCACACGTCACACACCTCGGATCTCCAGGCCCTAAGCTGGCCTGCAGCTCGGTGCCCTGGTCACCTCAGTGCTCCACGAGGGAGTCAGGCTGGGGGCTCAGGTGGGTCAGGGCGGGGTGGGGGGCGGGGGGAGCAGGGGCCATGGAGCAGGAGGCCGGGCCCCACCCCTCCCAGCCCACGGGCCGTCCTCCCAGGGGCATCAGAAGTCTCCTAGCTGCAGCCCCTGAATGTCCCCACCCACACCACAGGCGAAGGGCAGAGGCTTCAGGAAAGAAGGGGAGTGGGGGAGGGGAGGGGAGGGGGAGGGGAGGGAGGAAGTGAATCAGGATGTGCTCCGGGGGCACTTCGGCCAAGCCTGGGGGTCAGCAGTGTGGGCGTGGGGACCCGGGGGCTGGGCCGCCCGGTGCCCATGTGCTGGGCACCTCCCCCCCCACGGCTTCCCATTCGGGGTTGGGTGTGGGCCTCCCCTTCCGGCTCCCTCTGCCGGGTGCATGGGTGAGGGGGCCGGTTCTGGAAGCTTCTTCCAGAACTGCCCGCAGGGCATGCCGAGCGCAGACGTGCCGTGGGGAAGGAGGTCGGGGGTTTAAAAGGAGGGTGCAGTGTGGGCAGGATGCGGTCACACCGGGCGCAGGGGCGCTGGCGAGCCCCGAACCTCACTCCCAGCTCCGGGCCTGCCCCGGGGCCCCGTGGAAGGTCTGCTTTGGCTGAATCCCGAGGCCTGTGTGCCCCCCCGGGACTCCCGAGATGGCGGAGAGCCCGTGACTCCTGGGGGCCTCGTTCAAGAGGGTCTTGGCTGTGTCCACACGCACACACTACACACGCTGCACCTGCACACACGTGCACATACTACACCACACACGTACACATGTGCACACATCACATGCTACACCCGCACACACGTGCACATATGCACACACCACACTATACCTGCACACACATGCACACATGCACACACCACACGCTACACCTGCACACACGTGCACACAGCACACCACACACGTGCACACATGCACACACATGCACACACCACACGCTACACCTGCACACACGTGCACACATGCACACAACACACACTACATGTACACACAATGCAGATACCGGACACGCACGCATGCTATACCTGCACACACACCTCCACACCTGCACACACGTGTGCACACACCGCACAATGCTACACCTGCATACATGTGCAGATAACACGTGCAGACACACGTGCACATGACACACAACACCCACACATGCCTGCAGATAACACACGTGCACACATGCGCATGCGTGCAACCACATACAGAGGCACACACTAATAAACAACCCAACGGGCCCGTGGTTTTGTGCTATTTAGGAGAACAAGGCCGGCCCACGGTGTGTGAGCCAGTTCCCAGTGCAGGGGCTGGTGGACACCCCGCGGGCGGTTGCCCACACGGGCCTCACGCGCCAGCTCCTGCGGCTGCCAACTGGATGTGCTGCCAAGAGAAGGGAGCCCAGGGCAGCTGTGCCCCCGGCATCTCACAGCCCAAGGCACCGACCCGTCCCCTGGGACACGCCCCCGCGGTAGGGGCGCCCTGCCCCCCAGCAGCCCTGTAGCCCCCCTGCCTGTTCATGGTGGAAGCACCTAAGGGGGGACTCTTGGCGTGACTTTATGGGGTGAATCCTGTGCGTCCTGAGTCACTGCTTCCGGCGCTGAGGCCTCCGCTCACGGACACGACGCTCTCAGCCCCTCCGAAGCCCAGCTGTTGCGAGGGGAAGGCATGATTCAGCTGACAGCTGGCCCGGGGACAGAGCCGAGGTACGCCGCTGGCACTCCCGATACTCCAGGGCTGGGGGGGCGGGGGTCACCAAGCGCTGGGGATGCTGCACCATGGACCCCACGGTCACCTGTCCTCTGGGACCTGCCACCCACTTTCCCCGTTCACCCTGGCAGAAGGAATGACCCTCCCTCACCTGAATCCGTGGCCCGAGGAGGGCGGACAGGAAGAGGCTTGGCGGATGGGCCAGGTAGGAAGACAGCCATGTCCCCACCACAATCCCAGGGGACACCCCCGCCCCGGCCACCCTGACTGACAAGGGCCATGGGGACATCCCGCACGTCTGCGCTCATGTCCAGAAGGAGCTGCTCCAGGACCCGAGGGCCCTGTTCTGTGCCCGGAAGACACTGCGGGAGCCTCACTGGCAGACGTTTCAGGAGGAGGCCAAGCCGGCCACGGTGCCCCCTGATGCCCGTCTGCAGCCCCAGCCCAGGGCACCCACACGCCCAGCACCCACGAGGGCCGTGGCAGGCCAGACGCATCACGACTTCCACGCCGCAGCTGTCCCCTGCCAACAATGTGTGGCCTTGTGCCTGCTGGGCAGCCTCTGGGGGCTCCCCCTCCTGGGTGGGCCTAGAAGGTTCTCCAGAACCCAGCAGAGCCCGTGGGTCCTGGAACCCCACCCTGCACCGTTCTCCAGCAGGGCGCCGCCTGGGTGGGCCGTGGAGGAGGGTCACCGAGGTCACGTTCCTTGCAGGGCACAGAGGACTGTCCTTCCCTTGCACAGACTGTCCCGGGGGCCAGGCTGGGAGGAGGGGCAGCGCTCACGGCCGCCCCGGGGGTCAGGGGGCAGGGCTGGCTTCCCCCCGAGGACCCCAGAGCGGCCCTCCCGCGGCCGGCGCTCGGCCCGATGCCCCCTCCCAGCGCAGCAGGGCCGCTGCGGGAAGCCGGAGACTCGCCCGGGCCGGGGTGTCCCGCTGGGGGCCGTCGGGGCGCGCTCCCAGAGCAAGCGCTGGGCAGTGGCCGCCTCCCACGTCCCTCTCAGAGCCAAGCTGCTTTCCACACCTGCTGCCACCGTCGGGGCTGGGGTCTGCGCCCTGCCAGTCCCCGCCGGCTCGGCCACCGCCCAGGGTGTACCGCTGGCGCTGCGGGGCCGCTCACGGCGGGGCCTCTGCATTCCTTGCTGACGACGAAGTTCGACATTTTCCTGTGTCTCCGGGCCCCTCGGGTTTCTCTGGGGTTACCACCAGATTCCACGGGGCTCCTGGGGGCGCACGTAGGGTCTTGCTAACAGTCTGCTCTAATCAGCTGCAAACCGGGTGACTCCCCAGGTGCACGTCCCTCTGTGGGAGCTGCCCGGGGCTTCTCCCCGGGGTCGCATCAGCACGGCCCGGCCTGGGGACGATGCAGTGCCCCCCCACCCTTGTCCTACACGGGAGGGCGAAGTCGCCACCGGACTGTGATGCCGTAGCAGGAGTCGGGTGTCTCTGACGGGGACGTAAGACCTTCAACAGCAATGGAGCTGAGCGTGTGCGGGAAGCATGAGGCGGGACCAGGGGTGTTTGCGGCTCCAGGACATCGGTCTGGCTCCACGGCTGCGGCCTGGGCAGGCTTCCTGCTTTGTGGGCGCGGGCCCCCGACAGTGCCTCCCGGAGAAGGTGCGGAAAGGCGGGAGGGCCCACGAGCCTCCCCAGTGGAAACCAGCAAGGTGGTGGCGATCCCACCTCCTCGAGGCCCCGGGCCTAGGCGGGAGGTCCCCAGCCCTGTGCACTGGGCACAGCTGGGGGTGCTCCGACCCGGAGACGGACCAGGGCACCCAGCGCCCAGGCCGTGGGCTGAATCTGGGCCCTGCTGTTCTATTTACCGGGCACCAGCGGCTGGCTCCGTGGGCACGAACAGGCCCCCAGGTGTGGGGCGGCTGGCACGACACAGCTCTGTAGGAAGAACCACGTTCTCCATCTGCTTCCGATGGTGACTCCGGAGGTGAGTCTTCTGAGAGATGCTCTGAAATGTGTCCTGTGGGGGAGCCTCTGGCGGCTGGGGGCGGGGTGCACCTTTTCATTTTCCATCAAAGCCACGGAGATGCCCAAAGGTTTCTCACTCCCTTGCTTCTCCCTCCACAGTCTTCCCTCTCACCAAATCCAGGCCACCGTGGGGGGGGGGTGTGTCGTGGGGGAGGCAGCTCCAGCCCTCGGCTGCTGCCTCCACGGCTCTCGGCTGGCCAGCCACCGGCACCCTGTGGCAGACGTGCCTCCCAGGGCAGTGCTCCCGGGGCAGGAGCTCCGTCCTCACAGGCAGCTCTTCTGAGAAAGTGGGCGGAGGGGGGCAGCGGAGGAGGAAGTCCCTGGGGACCGCCGCTGTGGCCCCCGTGAGCCCCCTTGTGTACCCCGGGAGGGTGGTGGCCACGTGTAAGTCTTGGTGTTGGAGGGCGCTCATCGGCACCACGCTGGTCACAGCCCGTCCCACGAACGGCTGCGTGATGCCAGCATTCCCGAACCCCGGGCGCAGAAGCCCAGAGGCGGGGTGTTAGCCTGCTGGCCTGGAGGGCCGACCCCCCAGACCCTATGGCCTTGGGTCTTCCTGGGAGTGGCCGCCTATCACGTGGACGGACCTGGCCAGCTCCTCTGACCCCAAGCCACTGCCTGCGGGGCGCGCGGGGGAAGCCGGAGTTGCGGGCACACCGGTTCTGTGGGCACCTGTCCAGCTAATGACCAGGAGCTCCACGGGGTGGAGACTGCCGGGCCCTCTGAGCCTTGGGCAGGGGGTGCTCAGGACCCAGGACCCCGCGTGGAGGCTCCTGCTGCCCTCCGTGCCCTAGAAGCAGCCCGCAGCCCTGGGGGGCCTGCCCGACCCCCACCCCAGCTCCTGAGCCTGTTGCCAGGACTGGGCTCTGCTGGCTGGTGCCGCCCGCTGACCTGCCAGGCGCCCGCAAGGAGGAAAACCGCGGCCCACGGCGCCCCCCAGATGCCCACGCTCGCTCCCCCAGGCGCACTCTAGCCCGGAGCCACCCCCCCCCCCCGGCACCCACTTCCTCGGGGACCACCCACCCCTGCGGCCCACGCGGCCTTCGGGGGCCTGGCGCTCCAGCCCGGCGCTGGGGGCCGCGGCCCGGGGGGAGGGGTGGGTGGCGGCGGCGGGACCCCCGGCTCACCTCGTCCTCGGGCAGAGTGGGGAGCGGCTCGAAGTCGTAGCCCGCCAGCCCCGCGCCCTCCTCCGCGAGCACAGCGGCCGCGTCCATGGCCTGCATCCTGCTGCGCCCGCCCCGCGCCCGGCTGCGCGCCGCTGGGTCGGGTCCCTGGGCCGCGGGCTCCGCTCGGTCCTGCCCCGGCGGGCTCGGCTCGGGCTCGGCTCGGGCTCGGCTCGGGCTCGGCTCGGGCTCCGGCTCGGCTACGCGCGCCCGGGCTCCATGGCAACGCGCCCGCCCCCCGCGCCCCGCCCCGCCCCGCCCGCGCGCCTGCCGCAGTGTCACCCGAGCGGGCGGCCGGCCTGGGAGGAGGGTCCCCAGGGCCCGCTCCGGGGCTGCGCGCTCGGGGTGCGCTCGGGGTGCGCGCGGGGGCTGGGGTGCGCGCTCGGGGTGCGCGGGGGTGCGCGGGGGTGCGCGGGGGTGCGCGCTCGGGGTGCGCGCGGGGGCTGGGGTGCGCGCTCGGGGTGCGCTCGGACGCGCGGGGCCTGCGTCCTCGGGACTCGGCCGCCCTCTGCGGGGGGGGGGCTGCGGGCGGGGCCCTGGGGGCTGGTGCGGGTGTGGGGCGGCGCCACCGCAGGCTGCAGGGGGGCACCTGCGCCCCGAGGAGGAGGCCGAGGCCGCCGAGGCCGTGGTCCACTCTTCGGAGGCTCCACGGGGGGCTCCCTCCCCCGCCGCCCAGGGCGGGGCTGCCGCAGTCTTGGGGGGGGTGGGATGGGGGTGGGGCGGGGAGGGGGAGGGGCGCAGGAGACCCGTGGCCCCCTAAGCCAGAGCTAGGGTCCGGATGCCTCCTGGGAGCCACCACTGCTTTCAACCCACCAGCCTTGGGGCAAAGGCCCCCCAAGACCAGACAACCCCACCTGCCGTGCCCTGGTTAACCCCTTCCCTGCCCCACTTACTGTCCTGGCCGTCGGGCCTTCCCCAAGCTGGGGCCCCTGGTGGTGCTGGAGCCAGGATGCTCTCCCCACCCCGGCAAAGGGCCCCACAGCACCCCCACCGCCTTGTCCGCAGCGGGGGGATGGCAGCCACGTCCCTTCCCTCCCAGCAGCACCCTGGGTCACTGCCCTCGGAGAGCAGATCCTCCTGGTCAGGCTGTCAGCTTCCACGTCCTGGCCTGGTACATGGCCTGGCCATGGTACACATGCCACCTGGCATGGCCTGGCCAGGTACACAGCAGGCGCTCCATAAATGCTGCTCCTGTGAATGAGGCAGGGCTTGTGGCCAGGGGTGCAAAGTCCAGGCGTTCGCTGAGACACAAATTCCCAGCGTTCTGTGCTTGGCTCAGGTCACTGTGACCCTGGGCCCTAGCACGGGACACCCAAGCACACGGGGGGGGGGGGGGAGGCAGATGATCAGAGAAACAGGCCTCCAGATGGTCACGGGGTGGTCAGCCCCACTTTGTGCAAAGTGCTGGTCCTCGTGCCCACCCAGGTCAACGCAGCAGAACCTGGGTGCAGCCCCCCTCGTGTGGCACTGGAAGGATCGGAGGGACAGCCGGGGCTGGAGAAGAGCGGCTCCCGGGGTGCGACGGGGACCAGCGGTCTGTGGGCTGTGTCTGCGAGCGCCGCATGGGGCCTCAGGGCAGGCAGGGGGTCAGGGGGCCCTGGGTCCCCCTGCCGCAGGGTCCGGGGGGGGGCGGCTGTGGCACATAGGCCTCCCCCACTCACAGCCTAGGTGCCCGGGGCGGGGCACAGAAGAGCACTACAGGGACCTCACGGAGGTGGATGTGGGCCTTGTCCCCGGTGTCTGGTCACTGCACCTGGCTGCGGGCACCAGGGTCAGGGCTGGGGACGCAGCCCAGGAGTGGGAGATGCAAAGATGATCCCTCTCCAAGGAGTGAAAGCAAGTGTATGGCGAGCGCTCCCGGGCGGAGGACACGTGTGTCCCTGAGGGGAAGGTGCCTCCCCCTGCGGCTTGGGTAAGACGCAGAACCGACAGGCTGCCCGTGCGCCCCCATGTCCTCGGCCGGCGGAGCACTGCTGTGGACAGCCACCAGGAGCGTGGGCCGGCCGGGCCAGGGGTCGTTCTCCTACCACCGGCTCCCCCGCTGAGGGCAGCGATGTCCCCCCCACTGGTACCGGGGTGCGCACTTGGTGGCCGCTCCGCTGCAGGAGGTGCTGGCCCCGCGTGCTGCTGCCTGAGCGCTAACGGGCGTGGTTGGGCGGGCGAGGCTCTAACCGGCAGGGCAGCTCCCCACGAGGCCCTGGGAACCTCCCAGAGCCGAGGAGGCCACGCACGCGGCCGGGAGCACGTTCAGGCAGCCCTGATGGCCTCCAGGATCCCCGTGGCTGTGGCTGTGCCCACACCTCCCGCCCCGCCCGGTGTGCACCCCGGGCCCAGCCAGCTCGCCCCCTCCTCAGGCCTCAGGTCCGTGGGATCCTGCTCTGGGGGTGAGGCCGAGACGTGGGGGTGCCCCGACCTTCCGACTGCTCTCCCTGCCCCCGTGGCCCTCCCGCCTCCAGCCTCTGCCCTCCTCAGGCCGGGCCAGGACGCCCCCGAGGCCCGCTGCATCCTGCAAAGGCCCTGCTTGCCCCCGCGCCCCCGTCCTGGCACATGGGGGCTCTGGCCCGTCTCGGGGGTGCAGGCGGCTCTCGGCCCGACAGGCCTGAGGTGACGTCGGTGCAGCGGGCTGGGGGGGCGTCTTTGGAGTCTGGCTCTCGTTTTCCCTAAATGAATTTTGAAAAGTTGTCAAACTGCTTGCACAGTTTGAAGTCAACATTTAAATTTTGTAAGAAATCTCAAATGTAAATAATTGCGAAGGGTGGAATTTCTGGCGTGGTAAATATTGATGTTTTGCAGTGAAGCTGTTGCTCTCGTCAATGTATCCGAGAAGCTAAATATCGAAATGTTTTTTTTTTATTGTTGTTTTACTTTTTTTTTTTTTTTTAAGTAGGCTCCGTGCCCAACGTGGGGCTGAAACTCATCCCCCCCCCCCGAGATCGGTGGTCACGTCTCCACTGACGGCGCCAGCCGGTTGCCCCAATACCAAAATAGGTTTTGATGCCCACCATCAACTTAAAAAAAATCACATAAACACGTTGTTTAGCGTCCAAAATCTTCATCACAACATTTTCCCTTAAGATAGAACATGGGAGACTCCTAATTCTGGGAAACGCACTAGGGGTGGTGGAAGGGGAGGTGGGTGGGGGGTGGGGGTGACTGGGTGACGGGCACTGAGGGGGCACTTGACGGGGTGAGCACTGGGTGTTATTCTGTATGTTGGCAAATTGAACACCAATAAAAAATAAATTTATTAAAAAAACAAAACCAAAAAAAAAAAAAAAAGCATTTTCCCTTAAACTTACTACAGACATCAAATTCCGGCCAGAGTCTATCCTACTGGGAAATCCTTTCGTGCTCAGAAGCCTCTATACATACCTCCGCCATCCCACGTCTTTGCAACAAATACACAGATGAATTTTAATAAATTGTATATTCAATAAATTAAAAAAAAATTAGACTTTTTTGTTTGTTTGTTTCCAGGGACCATAAGACTCGCGTACAGTCCTGAAGTCTCTTGGTGAAGTGAACATTTGTCCTGGGGCTGGGAGCACGCACCCGAGGATGGTGGGCTGCTGATGCCCTGTGGCCGTCGCCCTGTCCCTCTGTCGCTCTCACCCTGCCTGTCCTTTTTTTCACAAAGACACCGTTCATGTTGGGTTATACCCACCAAGCACTTATGTCCGAATATGACGACTCTTGCAGGTGCCTGGAGTCAGGGCTGACGTGTCATCCTGGGGACGCGCTCCGGCCCACGGAGCTGGGAGCCTGTGAGAGCTCAGCAAGGCCCAGGGCCCTCCCGGGGGCTCTTCTCCGCAGCGGGCGGGAGGACCCCGGCCAGGGAGGGGTGAGCAGCGGCAGGACGGGCCCGCCTTGGGCCGGCGCCCGCGATGGGGTGTCGTGTGCAGCCCCGGGCCCCGCCGCCCCCGCCGGGCTCTCCCCGGCTGGGCGGCCGCTGTGCCCACTGCAGGTTTAATGATCGAGACGCGCCGCGGTGTTTTCCTGTGTTTTCACTGCGCGCCGCTCACGGTGATCCGCGAGGACAAGAGCAGGCGTGGGCGGCGCAGGGCCCGACTCTGACGTGCCAACGCCAGACGGTGGCGGCCGGGGTGGGAGTGGGGGCGCCAGCTGCCTCCCCGCCCCACGGTGACTGTCGGCACGCCTCCCGCCTCCCCTTCGCCGTTGCTCCAGACCGTGGGAGACGAGGAAGCCATCGGGGGCTCGGCGGGGGCCTTGCTGGGTCCGGAGGGTCCCCGCCAGCGTCAGCCCTTCTCTGGGCCGGGAGCGTCTGTCCTGGTTTGTAAGCAGAGCCGGCCCCCGACCGGGAACCAGCGGGAACTGGCGCTTCTTCCCTTGTTCCTATTCATGGAGCCGGATTTCAAACAGGCTTTTGTAGGTTATGGGGCGGGGGAGGGGGCAGCCCTCACTCCCCAACGTGAACCCGCTCAGGCAGGGCCACGCGAGATTCCTGGCCAGGAGACTGATACTAACCCATTATAAACAAACACTGGTCTTAGACACACGATTCCAGAATAAATCCAACTGAGCCCAGTTTAAACGAGGAATTGCCAGGAGCTTATTGCTCCCGCGGTTCCCTAACGCCTGAAGCGTGAAATTGATATTATGCCGCGGGTCCCTATAAATAAAATGCTAAAATGCTGCCCCCTTTCCTGGATGGATGCTTAGGTTCATTGAAAGCCAGTGGAATACTCCATTTCACCCGCTTCAGTGGGAAACCTTTTGCAGAAAAACACTAGAAGGTCTGGGGCTCAGATCCTATGGGCGCGGGCAGCAGCGGGGAGCCCTGGGCCCTGGACCCCGCGGGCGGCGGGAGCAGGATTCCCCGTGTCCCGGCGACTCCCTCTCCTTGCTCCAAACTCCACGCAGGGGTCTTCATTCCTGGACGCCCCGTGATGTGTCCCCTCCGGCTCTCCGGAAGCTTCTGCAGCCGCGGCTTTGGCGACCTTCCCACGGAGCCCCGGGACCCGAGCCCCGCGGCCTTCTCGGGGGTCCGCACAGCCGCCGGCGGTCAGCGGCTTTCACCGCTGGGCTCGGGCTCAGGCTTC